GACAAGCATATTTAAGTTAGCTGTAGCTAACATTAAGCACTAAGCATTTTTTATTTACAATATTAACAATTATGTATTATGTATAAGTTATCTATTATGTATTATGCATAATTGACAAACAAACAACAAATAATTGGTGAACACACTTGACTGTCAAGTGTGTTCATCAGTTAAATTAGTCCTCTACCTTTTTTTTTTACACAGGTAATCTAAAAAGATGCCACCTAATGTGATAATCCAAACTCTTTTATGTTGTCTTTATGCTATTTCAACTTCTGGAAATAAAATTTTTTAAATAAAACTTAAATAAAACTAAAAGTTCTCATACCTGACCCTTAAAACTTGACTTTACTGAATTAAATTTCTCCATCATTTCAAAAACTTCAGCCAGATTAATTTGATCAAAACAAAGCAAAACATGAGTAAGAGCTGTGGCATAACCTTGCCGAGCAGCTTTACGTCCTGAACTTAATCCTTTTACCAGGCGTTGTACTGTATATTCAATTTCTTTCTAAAGTAAAAAAAATCATTGAAAAATATATACTTTGATTATTTTAGTTAGGAGATTATTGCAGTAAAGAAAACAGAGTAAAAAAAGCCCTAAAGTAGAAACAGAGCCAGAAGAGATTAAAGTTGTCATCGATGCACCAATTATGAAGCAAAGAAAATTAATCAACTGTTTAACTCAGGGCTGTGGAGTTGGAGTTGCAAAGTTGCGACATTTTTAGCGGAGTTGGAATCGGAGTCGCTAAACAAAATCGCGACTCCGAATCCAAAAGTAAAACTTCTCGGTATTGCACGTGCATGTATGAAACATTCAATTAACCTTATATTTATACTTAACCTCAAAGAATGTTTCATAAATTTGTCAAAAAACTTTTTTTTAACTTATCGCATAATATTTTTTAAAGAATTCAAAGAGTTTTTCAAAATTTTTGCTTTGGAGTTGGAGTCGGAGTTGGAGTCAGAGTTGGAGTTGTACTCAAAAAATTTCAACAACTGGAGTCGGAGTCGGTCCACACCCCTGGTTTAACTTGGTCCCTTTTATAAAATAAGTTCATGAAAAGGGAATTCATTTTTGTGGTGGGATAATTTGAAGTCCAATTATCCTGCCACAATAAACTCAAAACCTCAAACTCCTCAAGAACCAATAGAAAACAAAACATTCTGTGCTAGTAATAAAAAGCAGCATGAAGCAGATTAAAATCACAACAATCATAAGTTAAAAAAAACAAGTTTCATAAACTTTCAAAAAATACTATTGAATAGTAGTTTGTTATTTGATACTTATGGTTGATAGGTTGTTGACTTTCAACTTATAAGCTGTAATTTTAAAAATGCCAGAAAATTGCTCAGTACAGATTAGCTTTACCTTATGACATCTGTCAATCTGTATTAAATGGCACTTTTCTACAAATCTGGAGAAACGCAGCCTTGGAAAACTGGCTCATTCTAGGTGGCTCACCCTGCCAACAGGATCCTCATTTAACAATTCTATCAGCATCCTCCAGCACTATTATCCTCAGCACCCGCATCCCCCTTACACCTGCACCTCTCACCACCCTCATCACCAGCATCCACCAGCATCAGTATCCTCATTGAATTAGGTAACTATAGCAAAATTTATTATGCGCATTTATTATGTCTCTATGTCAAGTCCTTTATATCAAGTGGGAGTCTTCTATCTTTCATGGCAGCAGATATCTGTGCAGCATATTAGCCAAACCATGGTATCTTTCAGCATTACGTTAGGTAGTAGACAAAGTAATTAAAACAATGCATTCAAGAATGGTCATCAAGAAAATATCTTTCTGGTAATGATATCCAATGAGCAGCCATACATTGCATAATAAATGCCAAGGCAACATATCTGATAATAAATGCCAAGACACATTATAATATTAATTTTTGCTTTATGTAACTGTTATGTTGATATTATTTAGTTAATTTTTTTTTATTTTTTTTCGTCAGTTCACCTCCTCAAGGCCAAGAAGGCTACTACAGATGAGGAGGCTACTTAATTGTGGTTATAACCCTCTTTCAACTCTATAACTGTGAAACACGAACCTTGACAAACAATGCCGCTGCGCAGAGAAACAAATTGAGCGTGGTACTACCAAGGACATGGTGGGGATCGAACTTGCAACCTCTTGCTTGAAGCAAGCGCTTTACCACTACACCGCTACCGCAAATATACCTGATCAATTATTTTTTCTTGTTTATTATTTGGAATAAAAATTTCAAATATGGAAAATTCCAAAAATTTATGCCAAATTTAACCAAAAATTTCTGAGGTCTTTTGATATTTATTCGAACTTGGCAAGTGATGACAACAATGAACAACAACCTAGAGAAAGGTCAGAATTAGAAGAACTTAGACTTTCTTTCCTTTGGAAAGAATTATTTCTTTTCATTTAGAAAGAAAAAATTTTTTCTAAAGGAAAGAAACAGTCTGTAGATGTTAAAACTTTGACAGCCTTTGCAAAAGTTTTTTTTTTTTTTTTTCAATGTTTATATTTTTATTTTGTTTTGTCTGTTTTTGAAACGATCAAACTTGTTCTTGAAGATGTTCACATCATCAGAATTGATTATCTCTTCTGTTAAATTATTCCATTTGTTAAGTAATCTGTTTGTGAAGAAGTTAAATCTTATGTATGACCTCTTGTTTCGCATGTTAAATTATTCTAGGAGGATGATTCCATTGAACTTTATCCATATTTTTAATTATTTTAAATTATTGAATCATATCACTTCTTCTTGTTTTTATAGTAGTCAAGTTAAATCTTTTCAGCCTATCGTTATAGCAAATATTCTTTAAACCAGTTCTTCGTGTAGCCCTTGTTGTGTTTTTTCAAGTTTGTCAATATCCTTTTAGTAACAAAGGTTCCATACAAACACTAGTAAGGAACCCAGGTTGACATTTGACCGGGGCCGGGTTTCATTAATTATAGCCAGGGCCAGGTTTGTAACCAGGGCTGCATAAAGACTTAATGTTACATCCTAAAGTAAATTTTTTTAATTCAAGATTCAAGTTATATTTTGTATATATATGCATATATAAACATCATTATGATCAACATGATCATCATAATCATCATTACCACAATTATCATCATCATCATCATCGTTATCTTTTATGCTGTTTCTAATCATGATCAATGCTTAAACAAACTATCATCTCTATTAAGATAAACCAAAACTCATTCTTGCTTGGATTCTTATACAACAAGTTGCATCTTTTTATTATATCTATCCCTTTATGCTATAAAAACTTTTATTAATCTAGTTTTTTTCCTTGCACATCAAAAAAACCTTTTTAACTCTTACCCATCTTCATGTTTTCTTTTTTTATACAACCTACAACTTTTTAAGTCTTCAGTTAACCATTTCCTAGCTTTTTAACCTATCCTCTATTTTAAAGTAACTCATAACTTAATAGTGGTTGCCTGCAATCTTGTTGGAAATAAATTAGAGTTTAAAGACATATAAATGTATGCCAAAATTTAATAAAGAATAAATGTTGGTACAAATTTATAATATCTTAAGTATTATAATTTTTTCTAGCCCCAGGGATCAACCCCTGCTAAATGTTATAATTTTGCAAAAAGTGACTGGGCTGTGTATCTTTCATATATATATATATATATATATATATATATATATATATATATATATATATATATATATATATATATATATATATATATATATATATATATATATATATATATATATATATATATATATATATATATATATATATATATATATATATATATATATATATATATATATATATATATATATATATATATATATATATATATATATATATATATATATATATATATATATATATATATATATATATATATATATATATATATATATATATATATATATATATATATAATATATATATATATATATATATATATATATATATATATATATATATATATATATATATATATATATATATATATATATATATATATATATATATATATATATATATATATATAGAGTAAAAAAAAGTAGGGCACCATAACACCTTTTTAGTTTTTTCTTTGTAACAATTTTTTTTATAGGTCTTTTTTTTGGCCAAATGGTTTATTTTGTAAAAAAGTAAAATAAAATTAAAAATTTTGTTTCTATTTCTTGTGTTTTATTTACATGAATCTTTTAAAAATTAAAAAAAAAAAATTAAAAAAATGATTTTTAGAATTGTTTATAATACAAAAGAGTACTATTCTACAGTTTTAAGCTCCCCCCCCCTTAAAAAAAAAATGCTGTATCAACTTGTTTTTTCAATGATTTTGTTTAATGAAGTAAAGAGTCCATGGCTTGTAGTTTACAAAATAATGTTACTTACTGGTAGACACATTAAATAAGATACCTAAAAACTTATAAACTTCAAAAACGAATAAATTATTTTGTCATAAAAAAAACACAAACTTCGACCACATTCGATGCCTAATGATGTCAAATGATATACTTTTTTTTCAAAACATAGCTCTAGTAGTAACTGTTTCACAATATGAAAGTAGTTGTCACAACTGAAAGTGATTGTCACATGACCAATAAGAATTCCTTTTGGAAGGTCAAAATAGCAATTTTAGACACTTTGGACAACTGTTGATTGTTGACCAGCTATTATTTTCCATGCTGTTTAATATAATTTTTGTTTAAATATGAATTCTTGGACATTTAAGCAAAGATGTCTTTTTTTGGGTTTTTTTATCTCAAACTATAATCATTGAAATTTTTTACAAAACAATTGACATAAAAATAAAAGCAACTTGGATAAAAAAATAAACAGTGGGTTCACTCCTGATTTGTCCATTTATTTCACCATAAAAAATTTTCAACATTTTATGATTTTAGTCTTTAAAATGCATACCTTATTATTAGTGTTGTTAAGTTCTTCTAAAATATTCTTAATTGATTCAATCCTTACTCCTTCATCTAATGAAACAAGAGACCAAAACTGATCCATCAATTTTTTATTGTCTATTTTTATTCTAGTTTCATTGCTTGGTACTTCCTTCGAGCTTTCTTCTGCCATTTTGAATTTTTTATTTGTCTATAAAATATAAAATATATAAAATAGAAAAAGAAACATAAAATATTGGAAATTCAAATAGCTTAATTTATGGTGTTATTTATAGGTTTTTAGGAATTATTTAGGAAATATAAACTGGATTGATAGGTTTAAACTAATAGTTTAAACAATAAAAAAAAATGTAGGCTAAAACTAAACTAAAAGTAAAACAGGTGTGTGATTAATAAAAATTAGTTTGATGAACAAAAAAAGTACCAAATAAAATCTAAATGTAAGCAACAGTAATAAAATTTTCAAGATAATTTTTCTTTATAAAAAATAACACTTATTCAACTCATAATCAATTTTTGAGATGTAGATATTATCTACACTTAAAGTGTAGATAATATCTACACTTCAAGTCATTGCAAAAATGTAAATTTTTTCCATTGTAAGTATCAAATTAAAAAAAAATAATATGAAAAATAAAATTGGCCACTGTTTAACACTAATAAAAAAATTTGCTAAATCTTAGTTATGAAAAAAGTATTTATTCAAATAAAGAACCTATAATTTATTTTTAATTATTGAGGTCCTGGTTTTATTGCTATCGTTTTTTTTTCCAGTTTGCACGAAAGAATTTAAAATTAACATATACTAGAATCATTTAAAAGATAAGAGAACAAGAAAACTTTTATAGCTGATTGAAAGTTCAAAAAAAGAAAGAAACGTGGGTTTAAAAAAATCAAGAGAGTTGAAAATGATTTTAAAAAACAATAATAACTTGATATGATAAGTAATAAGATGACTTTACTATTATATATAAAAGTATATACTGCTTTTACTTTCATAAGTTTATACTGCCATTAGTTAGATGACAGTGAAGAATTAGATATTACTTAAATAGACATTTTCACTTTTATATAATACATCTGTTTATTATATATTAAGTGAACTTTATGAATAGCATTGTTGTATTACAGCAATGCAATTGATATGCTTTTTTTTCTTTTTCTTTTTTGTTGAGTATACATTCTGCAAAGATTGTTTATAAATATAAAAATATAACAATAAGAGGTTCTCAGCTTTCATTAAAATTTAAAATATATAAATTACATAATTTGAGTATTATTTTATAATTATATACATTTTACTTTAACTAATTATAAATAGTTTACTATAAGAAAAGAATAAATTTTAGATTTTCAATGAAAATTTTCATTGAAAATTATTCACACAAAAATTCGAAATTTTCTTCACTAGCTTTTATTGAGGTATACCATTTTGAGTAAAATATCAAATTTGTTTCAAAACAATACTGCAAACTTAATAGAAAATTTACAAGAAAAAAAAATTGAAAATATATTTGAAGTTAAAAAAATTGTTTAAGCTTTTAAAAAAATTTATTGTGAAAAAGTATTTATTGCACGTTCCCATTATGATTACATTTATCTATTGTATAATAATACTTTAATAATAAAAATAATAATAATAATATTATTATTATTATATATTATTATTATTATATAATATTATTATTATTATTATTATTATTATATAATATTATTATTATATAATATTATTATTATTATTTTTATTATATTATTATTATAATAATAGTAGCAATATAATAATAGAAGAAATAAAAGTAATAACAAATTCTGTTATTAACATGTAATTTTAAATTATGTAAATGTAGCATAAACGTAATATAAACGTGTAAATTGCACGTTTACACTTTTTATGTTTACTTATACATTATATATACTATATATGCATAAACGTATGTAAACGTGTAAATTGTTTACATTATTATGCTACTGCAATAAATAATGTACTGCACTGCAATATGTAATTGTATATTAGTGCATAATGCACTGCACTGCAATATATAATACAATACGCATTGCAATAATTAATTTTTATAAATAATCATTATTTATCATTATTATAATGATTATAATAATGTAAAAAAATGTTAATATTAAATAATGAAATAAAAATGAAGTTGAAATTATAAAGCAGATGCAAACGTTACACAAAATATGTCACATAAAAAGGGTGTTGAGTGAATAGGTCATAACATATATATTAGTTTTAAACTAGTGTTATTATTTTTTTAGATCAACCTCCACAACTTAAATATGCAGCAAACTTGGTATCACAACACGTGTGATGATTGCGGACCTTGCGCGGTAATTTGTTCATTACGACAGTACGCTTTGAAATTTGGGACATTTTCGACACTTCACTATAAGAATCATTAACTTCAAAAAGGGGACCTGTCCTGCAAAAATTCACATAATATGTCCCCTTTTTTAAGTTAGCGATTCATATATGATTTGAACCTTTTTTTTTTTTTTTTCTAATTATCTTCGCATCCAACAAGGCTGCAAGCAACCACTAATTAGTGTTGGAAGTTACTGGAAGAGAAAAGATAAAGATTGGAGAGCAAGATAACGATTGACAGACGACTTAAAAGATTGCAAATTGTATGAATCAGGCAAGATGAAGGAAGTGAATTCCAAAGAACTGATGATCGAGGAAAAAAACTAGACGAATAAGAGTTTTTGGAACACTTAGGAACAGTAACAGAAAAAGGATGAGACTTGATTGAATGACGAGTAACACGAGAATGAATTTTAGTAGATGGCACAAGAGACGCTAGCTCCTTCGAGCAGTGCCCATTATAGTATTTGTAGAAAAGAGAAAGAGAAGCAACATTACGACGATGTGACAGAGGTTGAAGATTGGCTGCAAGAGCAGGTCCAACTATGTTTACAATGCGTTTTTGCACCTTATCTAAAAGAGAAAAGGCATCATTAGAAGATCCGCCCCAGATATGGCAACAGTATTCCATACAAGGCTGGATTTGAGATTTATAGAGATAGAGAATAGAATCCAGAGTAAGAAAGTGACGAGCTCGATAAAGAGAAGCAACTTTAGCAGATGCTAATTTTGCAACGGATTTGATATAAGGTTTCCAAGAAAGATCAGAAGTAAGAGTTAATCCTAGAAGATGAAGGGTAGGAGACTCATCGAGTACATTACCGTTCATAAATATAGGAAGGTCTAAATTATTGCGAACTTGATGAATAGCATTGTTGCATTACAGCAATGCAATTGATATGCTATTTTTTTTTTTAATATAAATCGTTATAACTATAAAATTACTATAAGAATGTAATTAAAATTATAAATATATATCAGAGTTTATCAAAAAAAGCAATAAAAAGCATTTTCATTTTTATAGGGTCAGAATACTTTTATAGATACTTTTATAGAGTCAGGATACAATTTTGACTAAAAAAAATGAATTTGAATGATTACTGCATGGATAATTTAATCTGTACTTTAAAATTAATTCCTGGAAAAAAAATTCCATAAGCTTATGAAACATATGGTCAATAGAAAATTTATTGGAATTTATATAAAATCTTAATTTTTATAAAACCTGAAATATGAATGCGTCGTCAACAAATTGAGTCACTTTAGATATAATATTGTCAGGAAGATTATTAATATAGATAAAAAAACAACAAAAGATAAAAGTCAGGACCCCAAAAATTACTGGAAATGGAGAAGAATGTTCACCTTTGAGGTCAACTTTAACACTGTTAGAAAAAAAAAATTAATAATCTCAAAAACGATGTATTTTAAGTGTAATATTTTACATTGTTTCAAAGTTGTATTTTATGCTTGCTTAACGTTTTTGTTTTTATCAGTATTAAATTTTTTTCTCTTTATACAAATATTTATAGATTTACGTATATATGTGTGTACAGACATAAAAAATAAGAAATGGAGAAAGCTAAAAAGCGACAACTAATTGATACCATATATCCATCTAATTTAGGACATTTATTTTGTTTGATCTGCTTTTTGTTTAATATTTCAGTATTCGCAGAAGATTTATATAAGCTATATAATTTTGCATTTGCAATATTGGATTGTAAACATCAGATCAACGTTGATCTATATATATTGAATCAACGTTGGGTTATATTTTATATATAATTGGATTAATGTTGAAGTTTTGCAATGTTAAAACATTGGTTTAATAAATGACATTCCTGATGGTTCTACATACAATGGCCCAATGTATGTGTGCTACCTGGGCAAGAGCATCAACCTTTTTTGTTTCACTGCCTTCATCTAATGCACTAAAGAGCCTTTTTGTTATAACAGTTAACAAAAAGATTGAAATCCGTTTTATCTCTCAAAGAGTTATTAGACTCAAGATGGTATTTTAGAAATTTTAAAACTAAAGAATCAAATGCGCAAGTTTAATAACTTGTAACTATAAGAAATAATAGAGAGTGGAATGATTGGAGAGAGAGGATTTATTGGACAATTAGAAATAATAGAGAGAGGAATGATTGGACTATAGTTTGATAGTACTCTCTAATTTAATCTCTAATTAAATTGGAACTACAAATAACATTTTTCAGCAGATAAGAAAACAAGATTTAGTCTTATTAAATAGTTTAGAGAGTATTGAGAAAAAACTGTTATAAGACTATCACAGAAATTTTTTGAAACCATAAGCAGTAAATATGTTTAAGAGAAAAATAGCTTTAGTAACGGAAGCCGATTTTATTTGGATGTCTAAAAATGGGTTAACTTGTTTAACTGGAATGGCAGAATAAGTATATAAATGATCTATATATTATAAGTATGGCCATCAGATTTAATAATTAATCCATTAAAAGTCATATTAGAAGAAAAGTACTTAGCAAATAGACCTGCCTTATTCTTGGGAGAGGTAATAAATTCATCTCCATAAACTAGAGATGATATGCTAGATTTACCTTCTTAAAAGATTTTCCAAAAGTCTTCAAAGCCAAAAATTTGATAATGGAGATAATGATAATGGAGCTTAGCATCAAACAGCACCTTTTTACATTGATTTCTGGATTGTAAAATATTTTTTTTGTCTTTTAAGTCCTTTGTTCTTTGTGATTGATAACAATAACTACCCGCATGGTTGATAGCAATAGCTACCCACGTGATCGTATTAAATTCGTTTTAAAGTTTCAAGTAAAATATCTATTTTATTATTATTATCTATATTTAATCTTGCAAAATAAAAACTCATCAAAATTGGTAAATTTATTCAACTAAATTTTATTTTTCAATATTAGTAGTTACTGATAATATATTTATCTTTCAATATATAAATTATTAAATCTTTGCGTATATTTTTGATAACTTTCTAAATCTTTGATTTAGAAATAGTTATAGCGATTTAGGAAGGGTTGGATGCCCTTCCCCCCCCCCATCCTCCTCCAAAAAAAAATACCTTGTCGATAGGACCCTTAAATCTTCAAAATTTTTCCACTAGGTATTACTAGGTATTACTACAGTCTTGGAAAAAAGTTTAAGACCACTTGCGAAAAACTAAAAATTTAATGAAAAAATTATTACAATACAAAAAATAATTGGGAAATTATTTTTTGATTATTTAATAATAATTGGGAAATTGTGTTAACAAACTATGGTTGCCAAATAAATACACACTCAATTTTATTTTAGGCACCAAAGTATAGCATTTATACGTGGTGGTCTTAAACTTTTTTCCAAGACTGTATTAGAAATGTGCCCGAACCAGTTTATGCTGAGTCCCTGATTCCGGGTACCTGCAAGAAAACACCGGTCCAAGGGTGCGGGTTCCCGGCACCGGGTCCATAATAAAAAGTTAGAATAAGAGCTTGTGAAATCTCTAGCGCTGAATTATTTTTACAAAACAAAGCTGGTTAGTTTGCGCAAATTAATTTTGGCTAAATATATTTTAGGTTTCTTTTTAATAAACAACAATATTTACACTCAAGGTCACAAATTCAAATTACGCAAACTATAGTTTTACTCGATGTCTGTAAATATTCTTTTTCCCTCAGGTTTGTTAGCATTTGAAATAACTTGCCGTCTGACGTTGTTAACGCCAAAAACATTTATTGGTTGAAGTATAAGTAATCCTGTTAACAATATTTCGACACAATTTAAAGTACCACTTAAACAAATAGTTACAGCACTTAAAGTTACTTTTTATTAAAATTCTGTTTCAAGATACCCAGTGCCAGGTATTGCAAAAACCGGCACATCACTAATAATTAAAAAAAAAAAAAATTTCCTTAATTTTGCAAAAAAGCCAATAAATTTGTAAATGTGTCCCTTAAATTTGCTGCCCCCTGAACCTTGTCTTTTTTTTTGTTCATCTTTGTTCTAATAAATATAGTTTTAATCTAATCTATTATCCATTATGTCTCGTCTTTAATTCCTTTACTTATTAATTTAGATATTTAGTTGTAGATTAAGTAAAAAACGATTATAACGTTAAATAACGTTAGTAATGTTAAATAACGTTAAATAACATTTCAAATTGTTAATTATTTAATGAATGTTAAAAATGTTACTTAAAAAGTATTTTAATTTTAAAAAGTTGTAATGTAATATAATAAAAACAAATAGTGCTAAATCGCAAAAAAATTTTATAACGTTAATTGTATATCATCTTTTAATAGACATCAGAGTTCACCAGTTACTTCACCATCATCTCCAATGATAACCTCCTCGTCCGGATGAGAATCTGTAAACAACTCTTCCATTATATTTATGATAGAAAAATCTTTGATTTTCGTTTGTTCCACCATTTTTAAAATTCCTAATAACAAACAAAAATACTAAAAAACATTTTTTTTTTAATTGTACAAGTTAATAAGTACTGAAGTAAATCGATAGGTGAAAAATTGTCTTTAACTATTCGTAAATGCTTATTAATACTTATAAGTCATCTAAACTGAGCTATGCTTAACAAAATTGGTTTAAGTTATTAAATCTTTGTTGTTTTGGATAATCAAAAATTTATTTATCTTTTTTGTGTGTTCGAGTCTGAAAAGATAAATGAGTAAATTATATTAAATTATAAATATGTTATATTTTAAAAAATGAATACAAAGCCCTAATAACATATGCAACGCATAAGACGTAATTGTATATTTTTAGTAATGTTTGGATTTTCAGTTATCGTCACGCAAGGTGAGAAAAATGCAGGATTTATGATTTCTAAGCTTGCTGTAAGCTGTAGTCACGCAAAGGACTACAGATTGATAGATTTTTATCGATATCATGGGGCATTTATAGTTAAAAAAAAATTAAATTCATTGATTACCATTTAAAGTAAATATTCGTGCGGTTTTATATAAAAACATTTAGATAATTTTTACAATATATATAAATAATATGCAAAACACTGTAAAAAAAGATCCCATTTTTATTAATATTAAAAATGAAGAACAGTTTTAATTAATTTTTGTAATAATGACAGAATGATTTCTAAAACAAAATAATTAAATAGCACAAGTTAACAAAATGAATACATTTAGTCGCTGATAAAATAATAGAATATTTTATTAGTAAATAAAAAAAAGAAAGTAGCGAAACTGACCATGATCGGCAGGTCAACAACATTCAAACTCTCAATAGTTTTTTTACAACTATTTTCAATTGCCGAGTTTTTTTAAAACCAGTATTAAATTGGGTTTAAGTAGACAAGAAAACCTTTTGCTTTACATAAATAGAAATTAATGAGAAATAAGCCCACGCACTGCAAGTGACTGAATGAGTTTGGTATATTTTTTCAATATTGATGTGCAAGTATTTCATAAATGAAGATTTTTATTAATTGTTCACACGGAACATCATACGGAAACAACGTAGTAATTACATCTGCTCTTAAGTTGTTTTCGTGTGATGTTCTCGTCAAGAAAAACATCTAAAAATTTTGTTACTAAATCTCTTTTTATTTCAACTTGATTAACAAAAATTTCCGGCATATTTGTGGGAAATGAATGATTTTTGGAAAGGAGATGAAAAAGAATCTATTTTGTTTTGTTTAGGTTTAGGGGATAAATTGTTACATTTGAACCAATTTGATACTTTTTGCAGTTCATTGTCGAAAAGAGTTAGTAAATATTATTATTAGAGAGAAACAAATTGGCATCATTTTGTGGAACACTACAAGATATTTCTAACAATTTTTTTTACAATAGTAGACAAATTTTTATAGTTAAAAAAAAAATTATTTATATATATTTTTTATCAAATTTTCGATTTGATTAATAGCTTAGAAACCATTGTAAAACTCAGCTATTTATGCCATAATGTTTAAGTTTATGGAACAAAAAATCGTAATATACAGTATCAATCTCTTTAAGTAGATCAATAAAAATTCCTAATGAAAATTGAGAATTTTCAAAAGAATTGAAGATTTTGCGGACAAATTGAATAATTGCGGTATATAATAAAATCAAAAACCTATTCCGGCGTTTGAAATTTTGTTTAAATTGATGACCGGAATACAACAAAATAAATGTTTGCCTTGATTTTTAAATCACTTTTTAACAAAAACTATTCTTTTAACTTATTGCCTGCCGAAACCGAAACCGTTAGTTGATGTTTGTACACTCCCTGCATGTTCTACCTATTTAGTCAGCCGGTGTATGTACACTTCCTGCATATTCTACCTATTTAAGTCAGTCAATGTATGCACACTTCCTGCATGCTTTACCTATTTAGTCAGTTGATGTATGTACACTTCCTGCATGTATTACCTGTTTAAGACAGTCTATGTATGCACTTTTTTTAATTTTTATAATAAATAATAACTTATAAACAATCTAACTTTTTATTAACAACAATCATAGACAATACGCATAAAACTAGAACGAAATACTTTAAAATATAACATAAAAGTAAACACTAAAATATATGCGCTGAAAAAGAATCGATTCTGAGTCGCTGGCGACATGGCAAATTTAATAACCATTGGACCACACATGGCATATCTAGTGGGAAGTAAATTATAAATATATACTTGTTTTTTGCGTTACGCAATTATTTTAAAACAATGATTATCGGGTCATCAATTTACACAAAATTTCAAACGTCGGAATAGGTTTTTGATTCTATCACCTACCAATAATTGCACGTCCAGTTGAGTTATTTTTTTTAAAACCTAATTGATTTTTGTTACTGAAATAATAAGATTATTGTTATTGAAGTTATTAAACATTCTATTGTACATAACTTTTTCTAAAATTGTTGAGAAGGTAGAAAGGACGGAGATTACTAATATTAATTACTAAGATTAATTACTAATAATTACTAACGGTAATTACTAATATTAAGGCCGTTTTTCACAAGACGAAATATTCGCGCGAAGCGAATTTTTTCGTCGTTGAGCATGCGCAGATTAAACATTTTTGGTAATTTTTATGATTTTTTTTCACTACAGCGTGTTTTTCACTACGCAGCGAAAAAAAAAGTCGGATTCATTTCGACTTTTTGCGAATCGCCATAAGCGAAAACCAATCAAGTTTCGAATATTATATCACGTGATGTCAACAGTAAAAAAAAGCGAAATCATGTTGTTTTCAAAGTAACAAAAAACAAAGTTCTTAACCTGGCGTTATTATTAATTTTATATGAACTTACTCTGAAAATTGGCAAGCATGAGTAAATTCATCTAATAAAGACCAAGACTTATATAAAAAAATTACAAGACTTATATATAAAACTTAATCGAGAGTTAACAAATATAAATTTTCGCACTGTCAATTACGAAAGTTACACTTCATAAGAGTATTTATCTTCAATTGGCCACACGAAGATAAACCTTTTATTGTAAAACCCTAAATAGAGTTAAACCTGCTGTTCGTTCTTGCAGTAACAGTTTCTAATAGAAATGATCATATCAGAGTTTAGCATTTATTTTCTTATACTTTCTTGTAAAAAAAACCTTATATTAAATGATTATTTTACAAAATGATATCGCATCTTACATATAAAGACAGAAATGTTATTATTAATTCACAAAAAGAAATTTTCACATGCTTCAAAGTAGAAAGTATGCTAAAAAGTAATAACTGCCTTTAGTTAAACATACTTTATGCCGATGACATTAAGTTATACAGTTCATTTTGCAATACGGACCATAGCCATTATTTAGCTATTGCTCTTAATAATGTAGTACTTTGGTCAGAAATATGGCAACTACCTATTTCTACCATTAAGTGTTTTTTTCATAGGATTGCAACTGCTTCACCGAGAAAATTTGTTAACTTTAACTATAAGTTAGGAGATCATATTTTAGCTTGGTCTTCTATTCCGAAAGATCTCGGTGTAACTCTGGACTCTCAACTAAACTATAAAAAGCATATCTCAAACATTCTACACGCAGCTAATACTAGAGCATATATTATTTTAAAATGCTTCAAGTCTCGCGATTCTAGAACCTTAGTAAAAGCTTTCAATACATATATTAGGCCTATATTAGAACATTGCTCGTCAGTTTGGTCACCATATCATGTTGAACTAATAAAGGTTGTTAATAACGTGCAGAAACGTTTCACAAAAAAAATCCTGCGCTTAGGCAATTAAACCTACGATAACCGACTTCAGTTGCTTGATTTAGAGTCGCTTGAGTTAAGGCGAGTAAAGCATGATTTATCGGTTTGCTACAAAATTCTGCATAACTTGGTCTTAATTGATAAATTTATGTTCTTTCTTTTTGACAACAAAAACAACATTCGGGGACATAAGTATAAATTGCACAAGCAACATTGTCGACTAGATATTCGCAAATTTAGTTTCTCTTACCGAGTTGTCAACATTTGGAATCAGTTGCCTTTCGATGTTGTTAATGCCGATAATATCAACATCTTTAAGAGGAAAATTAACTCAATCAATTTTGAAAAGTTTTGTCGGCGTTGATAAATTATTTATTCAATGTTGTACGCTATTACATAATTTATTTATTTATTCATTTATTTTTGGGTGGGCACGCTGTTAGTGTCCATCAATATTGGACCTGCGTGTCCTTTAGAACATGTATATTATCCGTTCTAATAAATACAAATACAATACAATACAGCGTAAACTTATTGCTGCCATTTTTATTGTTGACAACGAAAAAAAAGTAGCGCAAAAGAAAGTAAAAGGAAATCTTCGCGTGAAGACAAAATCTTCACGCGAAGCGAATTTTTTCGTCATAGCGAAAAAATTCGCTTCGCGTGAAGATTTTGTCTTGTGGAAAACGGCCTTAAAAGCCGTTAACTTATAGAAAACTCTAGAAATCAGTCGCAAAATAGGCATTATTGAGCCCAACATAAACTGTCATAACTTGGGAACCAGTTATCCAAATTTTAAAAACGAACTTACTTTGAAAATATCTTTATTATCCGCATACTTTGGTATTAATTATAACAATTATAACAAAGATAATAGTTATAGTGAAATCGAGTGAAATGCCTAGTTTTAGTGTTTTTTGTTATTAAAGTTGCAATAACTTAATCAAATAAACCATAAAAAATTTTATGGTTTATTTGATTAAGTTTTATTAAAAAAAATTTTATTAAAAAAAAAACTATATTAAAAAATTAAGAATTTATTTATATTTTAGAGTTCTCGCAAATAAAAGGTTCATTAAGGAGGATTTTATTGATGAAAAGTTATTTAATAGAATGACTATAACTCGATCAGATGTACATAAAAGTTTTTTTATGACATCTTCATTTATTTTCATTCTTAAATTTTTATAGAAATGATTTTTCTTAGATTTTCTAAATCTTCATTTCTAGTTTCTTGAGTTTCTTCACTGATTAGACCTATTGGCAAAAATAGACTTCCTATTACCTCAGCTCCATGAATTAAAATCATTTGAAGCTCTAAGGCATGTAATAGACTTTGTGAGAAGTATAACCGTCAGAATAATCACTTTTGAGTATTCTTTTTTTTTTTTTTTTTGCATCTTCTTATACTCTCCATATTTTGATTTTTATATGAAACAACTTTATTTAAAACTTTATCAACTTATTTATCAACTTTACACAAACTTTATTTACAAACGTGTAAGCGAAAAAAAAAGCATTTAGAAAGTTAATAGAACGTATTTAAAAAAAATCTTATTAATTAACTGCAAGTTACTCACTGATACTAATATTCTTCATAACTAAAAATTTAAATAAGAATGTTTATTAAAAGTAAAAAATTAAACCTAAAAAATAAGGAAGGTAAAAAAACTCGAACAATGTTCAAACTCTGATGGATACCCGCAATTTGAATTCTACTAAATCTTTAACAAGAAGATGCTGTAAAACTTCATTTTAAACTATGAGTCAATAATAAAACTAACAGCGTTATTTTTATTATTGACTCATGGGTCTAGTGGTCAAAAACAGATATACTAAAATAAATGTTACTGCTTTTTACCGGTTTAAAGTCCACACCTTTGCCAAGACTATATCCAACGTAACAAGTCTGCCTTTAAAGAATACTGATATGTTTAAAAACTAATGATAATGTTTGGATTAAAGGTGTACGGATTTTAAAAAACATCTAATAACTATTATTAGAAAGTCGTCAATTTTAGCAGCCAACGACCACTCATTTCAAAGTGAAGTTGACAAACACACATTAAAAAATAATGACAATAAATTTGATAAGTATTATCTATCAGTGAAACTTGGTTCAACTTGTTTGTTTCTAATGGTTTGGTCAAACTGAGAGACTAATTTATGTTTCCGTAACTGTATAGTGTTGCAAAAAACAAGCGGCTTATTGGGCCGCTTTGATCTGTGTACAATCACGCTGAAACCAACTAAAAAGTCGTTTCCTAAATCGTGGGAAACTTCTATAGGAAAATTCAGTGCTAGGTTTGTGTTGTTTTATGTAAAATTTTATAGAGGCTTTAAAAATAATTCATTATTTAAGTTTATGACTATTTGAAAATCAAATATGTCAATTTTTACAATAAAAAATACAATCTTACGATGTGGTTTATTTTTTATTCAATATCTCAAGAGTGGTTTATTGTAGTTTATTTTGTAAGAAATAAGGGGTAGAAATAGGGGGTTAGGGGGAAGAGGGAGTTGTTCTGTAGTTTTCCCGAAAGCATTCACCCCTTTTGCGTTCGTTTTTCTTGTTTTTTTTTATTTCTGGGATAAAAACAAATCAAACTAAAATTGTTTAAAAACAAATTAATATTTTAAAAATGGATGGGGCATTATATGCTACTTCTCCTCATCCTGATTAATACGAGTAAAAAAAAAAATTGTTTTTGTGTATTGTCAGGACGGAAAGTAAGTTTTTTTTGAAAAAATAGAGTTATAAGGGCTAATCATAAAATTTCTATGCATTTATTAAACAAAACGGTAGTTCCTTTTATTTTTATGTACTTAAAATAATTAATTGTCAACGCTTAACTAATACATTTCGAATATAACAAATGATATATTTGTTATATTCGAAATGCATTAGTTGAGCGTAGAAATAAAATAAAAACAAGAAAAACGAATGCAAAACGGAGGGATGCTCCAGGTGTAGTATAGGATTTTTACACCTGAGTTTTTTTTATTCCCCAGTAAAAATCACATATGAAATTTTTAGCGCGGAGTTAAAAAAGCGTATGGGATTTTTATTCCCTCCGTTTTATTTTTATTCTCAAGTTATTATTAGCGGAGTTACATATAAATAAGACATACTCACTAGATTTGTATGTATATTTATTTAATATATAAAACGAAAGAAGTTTTAAGTAAAGGTTATAAAACCAATTTCAGAAGACAAACAAATTTATAATTCAAATGAATGAACTATATCATGTAAACAAAACTGTAAATTTTTGTTTCAATAGTGTTTAAAATTTTTCTGTTATTTTTATCTTGTTTAAACGAGATAAATTCAGGGCCCACTTTCGGCGGCCCTGAACACAAAAAACTGAATACTTTAAGTAAATAGAAATTATCAAAATCTTGTTATCTGAACTGTTACTGTTTAATACTTTTTAGTTTTGATTTATTTCTTTTAGAGAAAAGTTATATGGAGCAATAATAACAAAGCATAATAAAGTTTGTTCATGAAGGAAATGATGTCTCTGTTGAGCCTAAAGCTTCTGGTCATACATGTATTAATAACACTACCCATCACATTCAAAGTCGATTTTTTTGATATGCAATGATAAAAGTAGGTACGCGTAAACCCTATCTTAACGGACCCGTTTTCTGCGACCGAATTTTGTACCACACTTTTTAAGAGTTTTTAACACTTTTGTACCTCAATATTTTAAGAGAGGCGTAGTATGAACATGTTTTGCTGTGTTATTTTTTTTTAGAATTTGTATTAACATAGATTTGTTTTTGAGTACTAGAATAAATTTATTTATATTATAAACAAAATAAAACTTTGTTTATAATGAATTTATTGTTGTTTAAAAATTTCTTGTTGTTTGTGCATCAGATATATATCTGATATATATATATATATATATATATATATATATATATATATATTAATGGTAACAAATATCTGTATTAGTAGACTACTTTAGTAAATGGGTTAAAGGAAAAGCACTTACTGATAAAACTGCTAGATCAGTGACCTTGTTTTTTATAAACAGATTTGTTGACATAGTTGTTTTGAAATCAAACAATTAAGTGTACATTAGTTAAGGAACGTCTTTTGTTTTCATAGAGCGTTAGAAAACACAAGTCATAAGGTTGCATCATTTTTATTGCTTTACTAAAGGGAAGCAGTTCTTACCATTGATTTAAATTGCAATTTAATTGATTTTAATGATAATGATGCTCTTAAAAACTATGATTCTTATAACAAAAAAATAGTTTCAGAAAAGTTTGATGCAATGAATAAAATGAAGAATAAACTTTTTGATGAAGCTTATCGAAACATAGTGAAATCTCAAAATAAGACAAAAGCGTGAGTATGGGAGGAGTATTAAAACTAGCATAAATACAAAAAGTGTTGACTGGACCATATATTGTAACTTCCATTTCAAGCAAAAATATCTGTACTTTAAAAAACCTAAAGGGTCAAATTTTGAAAACAAAGTTCAACTTGGGCAAAGTTTTTAAAAATTCCTTTTTCTATTCTACTCAGATCTAAATACAACGAATACAAATTTAGAAAATGGCTACTTTTGTTTTTTGGAATGACTTCTAAAAAAATCTTATTCAAGTTATTTTGATTTTTTAATTTTTTAATGAAAAGTTCAAGTTAACTGAAGAAATTTGCTGAAAGGAGATATTAAAAATGTTTCGACTTAACAAAGTTCGAATTAACCGAGGTTTTTAACCAGAGATCAAATGAAACAGTTCGAGATAACAAAAGTTCGAGTTAACCGGTATTCGACTTACCGGGAATTAACGTTGTTAACTTTAAAACCGCGTTATCTTTATCAAACTTATTCAATTACAATTGTAAGATTTAAGTTCATATTTTATCAGTTTTTATTAAAGATAATGTAACAGTTTTTATTTCTTCAACTATTTTCAGTCCTCAAAGAGGTAGAAATAAGAAATAAATTGTTTAAAAAAAGTTTGATAATACTATAAACTGTGTAAAAACTGTAAAAGCGTAACTTTTACTGTAACTCATGTAAACTTTTACATGACTCATGTAAACTTTTACTGTATGAAACTTGAGTTACCTAAGTGTAAATAACCCTATATAAACATAAAAATTGTAATAGCTCTATATAATATGTAATATCGCTATCTATGTAATAGCGCTATATAATCAAAACTTCTTAAACGAGTAGAGTAAAAAATTTCATTAAGGGAGCAAAAAACTTCTACGCGTTTTTTAACTACGCGGAAAAAATTTCATATGAGATTTTTACTGATTTACGCACGGTGCAGTCTACACCGGAAGATATACGGGAAAACCGCCATTCTTTTTCTACCTTACCTTACCTTCTACCTATCCAAAACCCGAATAAAAAAAGTTTAGTTAAATTTTTTTATAATTGACTTCAAAAAATTTTAAAAAGTAAACCTGAAAAATCTCTATTGATTTAGGATGATTCTTAATAAATATAGAGTTATATTTCAGGATCTGATAAATTTTTATATCTATTTGGCGCCGGAAATAAAAACAATTGTTTCGAGTTAACCAATTTCATTAGTAATAATTATTTTATTAAATATAATAAAATTTTTTGCAAAATGTGTGAAAATGAGTTAAAAAAATTAATTTTACATTTTATGAAGTAAAAAAATGTATATAAATAAATACCATATAAATTATATAAATATATACTATATAAGCTTTATATATATATATATATATATATATATATATATATATATATATATATATATATATATATATATATATATATATATATATATATATATATATATATATATATATATATATATATATAATATTTTTGTATCTTGTTTATTATAATAATTGTTAGTCTAAAAATATATATAATTATAATAATGATATATTTTTTATCCTTACATATAAAAAAGAATCAAATAAAAATAAATTATTATGAATATATTTAGATTAAATATTTGAATTTGGTATAAAATGAATAATCAAGAAAATATTAATCAAAGTGAAGTTGTATCTTGTAAAAAATGGTTAAACGAGAGAAACAATAGATTTACAACATTGATGACACCGTATGATGTTTTTTATACAGTTTTATATGTTAAAACCAAAAGTAGAGCTCTGTTATTATTATTTTTTTTTAATTATCACAAAACAATAAAAAGCTTATATTAAGCCATTCAAGGATATATTTTTTTGTCTGTTTTTTATTACTATAAATCATGATGCATCATGATATGGTCAAACAGGGTAAATACATGTCAAAATTAAGAAACCTGTAATTATTTTATATTTAAGTAAACTTTTAGCAGAAATATGAGGGTGCTTATAAGTAGTTTTAACTTTTTGTAGTGCACCTAATTGTGTATTACAGAATACCTTACGAAGTCTAACTAATTTCTTGTCATGAAGTTTAATTTTATTAGGAGTAAAGCGAACTTTAATGTTTACAATGCACATTTTTCCTTATTGTCTAAAAGAGATTTAGTTGTCTAACAATAAGTTAATCTGTTTCTCTAAGATGTCAAGAAGAATGTGGTTATAAAAATTTATGTGATAATCTTTTATAACCATATATAGAAAAAGGTCTTTGCAAAAGGTTCTGCCTTGCAAGAAAGTTGTTCTAATAAAAAGATTAATTACGGTTAGCAATAGCAGCTGCATAAGAATGAGAAAACCATGAGGTAAAAAAAGGCTTGATTTAAAACCTACTATAGATAATAAAGGCTTTTATGCGTATTTGAATCAAGTATACTATGCAGGAGATGTTTTTAGCAGAAAGACAAAAGATCTTTCTCAATAACCATTATAAAGAAATTCACCAAAGAAATACCACCCCTTAAGTTAAAAAGAATTCTTATGATAGGTTGATTTAAATAAATAGTTTATATGTTTTCAGAAAAATTAAAATATATTAGAAAAACAACAAGGGGCTTATAATCAGATGTGAAAGCATGTGTTATAATTAATATTAATATATAAATTCAAAACCGTTTCATAAGAAATGTTTGTCTATGAAGCCACTGGAAAGAGAATTGCCAATCTTGAACTCATCTCACCAACAAATAGTGTCTGAGTAAAAACTTTCTGCTGCTGAGTTGTTTGTGATTGAATTACTTCATGGTAGTGTATTGTTATGTACAACTGATTTTAATGATCTGTTCTAACTGTTGTAACAGCTACAACATTAGGCTTTTCTCCAACCATTGTTTTTGGATCAGGGCAATCAGTTAGATTTTAAATTATTTTCAGAAAAAATTGACCTATAAAAAGGCCAGTTAACATTGTTTTTTATTTGCTTATGTCATATTTTTTCAATGAAAAATATCCTTAATATGACATTTAATTAAAGCATGTATGTAAGAAATTTAATTTAAGTTTTTTGTTTGTGGTTTCTTATTCTGCCAGTCAATCATTGTTTCTTTAATAATTGGAAGGTTTAAAAAACTATAAAAAAATTCTCTAGGAAATATTATCTAAGTTACAAGTGCTCAAAGAACATAGCTTTGTAGTCTATTCATGCTCCATGTTATTAAAATTGTTTGTCCAAACCTTTGTTATGACTTAGGGTTTGTTATTAGTAATGAAGCTATTGCAAGGAATTTAAAATAATGCACTGAGTACTATCTGTGCTTTGAGTCAAGTTCTTTGACAAATCTAAAAATTACTAAAGTAATAAAATAAAAGCTATAAAACATAAAAAACCATCATCATCACCAAGTTCTCTAAATCTATCATTCACTAATATTTGTGGTCTTTGAAGTAACCTTTCTTCTATTGAGTTTTATCTCTTGCAAAGTACACCAGACCAACTTGCTCTTTGAGGCTAATTTGAGTTCAGATGTCTAATTTTGTGATTTTAGTATTAATAATTATCTTCCTTTAATTAATAGAGACTCCAATAGTCACATGCTTGGCCTGGGCATTTGCATTTTGTTAGAATTCACCTATTTGTCGGGAAACTAGGTTTGAATCCACAGACTATTTTTTTAAAGTGCTTTTGTTTAGCATCACTTCAATAAATAACCTTTCTCTTTGTTCTATATCTAAAGACTTCATTTTTTCGGATATATCTAAAGAAAATTTTTTCGGATGTTATTTCTGATCTGATAAATAAAAAGAATCAAAAAGAAATAAAAACTATTCAAATGTCAATAAAAGGCATCAGAAAATGATTGGCAAAGATTTTTTTTATTTTTTCATATTTTTTTAGTATTACTTATTTATGATTTATTTTAATTAGCTAAATATAGTTATGCCATTATGTGGTCTTGTAATGATTTTTTTTAATCAGTTTTTTAGTGTAATATAGTTTTACTTATTATTTTTTGTAACAGATTTAAATTTAGGATTTTCGGATTAATAATTTATACTCAACCATTAACTAATTAATGATATTCAATTTGAATAAAAAATTGTATATTTTGATTTTAATTTTATTTATTTATCTTAAGCAAAAAAATTCATAAATTTAATATGATTACTAAATAAAAGAACATTGGTTTTTTAGTTTTATAAAAATTATCCACTAAAGATTTTCTCTGAATTAAAAATTTGTTTCTTCTTAAAGTATCTTTTTTTTATGCATTTTTTTTTGCTGCTTAGTTCTTCGTCATAATTTATAGCTGTAAGTGCTCCTGCAGTTGTTCATCAGAATATATTAACTTAACTTTTATAACTTTTTCAGAATATTTTTTTCTTTTTCAAATCTTGAATCTTATTATTATAATTCATTTCATATCATAAATAAAGTATAAAAAACAAATCAAATGAGTAGGGTTAAATTACTGGGGTTAAATTACCTTTGCTTGGGTTAAATTACTTTTGCTAAAAACCTTGGGTTGAATTACCTTTTTTTTTAGCCTTAAAAAAAAAAGAAATTTTTTTTGATTGTAAAAGAGTTTCTTAAGAAAGCAATAAAAAATCATTTGCGGATAAAAAACATCTTAAAACTATAAAAGTAAAACTTTTTAAAAATATCTTATTACTAATATAAGTTAGTTTTGTACAAAACGATACTAAAAAAATATATTGAAGAAAAACTTAAAAATTTACTTATTTTTTCAAAAACCACGGCAGGGGCTTCTTCACGGTAAGGGAAGACATGACCCTATATATTATTTGTTTTTATTTTTATTTCAGCCATTTTTTATATATAATTAAAATAAATTTTTTTTTTAATTAAATAAATTTATTTTAATTATAAATAATTAAAATAAATTTATTTTAATTATTTATTTTACTAAATTTTTTAGCAATAGTTGTTTTTATGTTGTTAGTTGTTATGTTTTGTCAGTTTATTACTGTTTGTAACTGTAATTTTTTTTTTCTCCAAGGTTTTCCTCACATTGTGTTGCAGCAATTTTTAATAGTAGCTATTACTTCCATATCTATCACCAAAACAATCCTCCAGAAAGCTGATGTCTGTTTACTAATGCTAGAAACCATTGTAAAAAGGTTTTGTCTAACGCCAAAGCCTGCTATTCTCAGATCTTTTAATTCATCTAAAAAATTGGGCTCCTGAGACTTTTGGAGAATCTTTAACAGTGTCTATAATAAGAGCAAACCTGTTATTCCACCTCTCTTGCATGGTTCAGATTTTTTTACCTCACCTAAAAGTAAAGCTGAATTATTTGCTAAGAACTTTTTATCAATATCATATCTTGATTCCACTAGTTGTGTTCTACCTGATATAGCCAACAAACAGGTTGATCCATTGCTTGACATTTGTGTCACTCCAGCTTTTGGATCTAAAATGATTTCTTAGACTTTTACAGCTTGTGGTCCAGACAACATACCTGTTATAGTCTTGCAGAAGTGTTTTCCGGAACTTTTAAAACTATTTAACAAGTGCTTATCAGAGTCTTGTTTTCCAGCCTGCTGGAAAGTGACATCTGTTATCCCTATTTTCAAAAATTCTGGATAGCAATCTGACTTGTCTAACTACCGTCCCATTAGTCTATCATAAGCAAGGTTTTTAAGTCTTTAATTAACTAACACTTAATCTCTCACCTTGAATCTAATAACTTACTTTCCAATCATCAATATGGATTTCGATCTTCTTGTTCTACTGCTGATTTTTGAACAGTAATATCCAATAGGTTTTATCGTGCATTAGATAGATGTGGAGAGATTAGGGCTATCACTTGTGACGTTTCTAAAGCTTTGATAAAGTTTTGCATGCTGGTCTTCTCCATAAGCTCTCTTCTTATGGTGTATCAGGTAATGTTCTTGCAGAAATTCTCAGGTCTAAAATGGCATTGTTCACTGATGATACTACCATATATATATCTTGTCTTGATAAGAAGCCAACACTCTCTAATTGCTTGGAGAGGGTGTTTGAGCTTGAAAATGATATCACCTCTACAGCATGGGGTTCTCAGTGGTTGGTAAACTTTAACTCTGATAATATTCATTTTCTTTCAGCTAATTATTATCGTAAAAATCAAGATCTTCCTATATTTATAAATGGTAATGTATTCAATGAGTAAACTACCCTTTGTTTTTTAGGATTAACCCTTACTTCCAATCTTTCTTGTTATATATTAAATTGATTGCAAAATTAGCATCTAAGGTTGCATCTCTTTATCGTACTTGCCTCTTTCTTACTCTAGATTTTATTTTTTATCTTTATAAATCTCAAATCCATCCTTGTGGAATACTGTTGCCATATCTAGGGCAGATTTTCAAATTATGATCTTTCTCTTTAAGACAATGTGCAAAACGCATTGTAAACATAGTTGGACCTGCTTGTGCTGCTAAACCTCAACCATTGTTACATTGTTGTAATGTTGCTTCTCTTTTTCTTTATCATTTTTATATATATATATTTTTATATTTTAAGATTTTTATATACATTTTGTTTCATTAAATTTTTGAAATAAAAAAAAAATTACAACCAAAAATATAAATTATAAATGTAAAGAGATGATATGTTAGTTGATTTGCAATGTTAATAATATATTACTTTTATTTCAGGTATGCAACTTTTTTAGTCAAATATCCTTCTGTTGTTGTAATACTACTATTAATAGTGATCGTTTTAACTAACCTGCTCAGTGTATGGAAAGTTCTTGGCGCAAAAGATCTACCAAATTTTGGAGAACCTACCAAAGTTTGTATTTTATATTTGTATTATTGTATATATGTAATATATTATATATATTAAATTTGATTAAATAACCAAAAAAGTGACAAATTAAAAAAATTAGATAAATGTCTGGAGTGTCACTTACCTAAAAAAGTATTTTGGATAATAAATGTAAATTACATTTATTATCCAAAATGTTTTATTATCATATTACAGTAATATGACAGAATATTCCATATATATATGTATATATATATATATATATATATATATATATATATATATATATATATATATATATATATATATATATATATATATATATATATATATATATATATATATATATATATTTATATATATATATATATATATATATATATATATATATATATATATATATATATATATATATATATATATATATATGTATATATATATATATGTGCGTGTGTTTTGGATTAATAAGATATTAATATAAAAGAGATATTATAAAAGTTTGAGCAGCTCTCATATTGTCGTAAAATTTTTCTTTTTACAAATGTTATGATGGTTGCTGCTCAAGCAAGCTATCATCTTTAACTCGATCAACCAAATCTCATTCTTGCTTGCATTGTCGTTCAGCAAAGTCACATCTTTATACTGAATCTGTCTTTTTAGATGCTTAAAATTTTTTTGTTAATCTTGTTTCTTTCCTTGTACATCAATACTTTTGAACTCTATCTTATCTTCATGTTTTCCTGACTCATACAACTTTTCAAGTCTTCTGTCAACCATTTTCTTTCTATTTAATTTTATTCTATTTTTTCTAGTAGTTTCCAAATTATTAGTGTCTGCTTGCAATCTTGTTGTGAGTGAATTAGTTCTTAAAAAAAAATTATCAAGCTGTGGATTAGATTTTTTATGTATTGCTATTGAAACATCATTGTGATGAAGAATTTTTTCATTAATATTGATTTTATTACTTTCTAAATCTAAAATATATATTCCAACAAATTCACAAATTTCTGCTCCATCATATCGTAATACCTGTTGCTACATTAAATCAGTCATAAATCTTTTTTGTATAATATTTAATAATAGTGTTTATTTTGATTTTTAACTGGTGTGATTTAATTAATATGTGTTAGTATTTATTTTTTATTTCTATCTTCGTCTTTGATGGCTTTAAAAATTTGATTTATGAGATAATTTTTAAATTGATTAATATAAGAAAAAAAATTCATACTTTGAGTTGGGTAAATTTTGGAATGGTGTTCATTGGTAATTTTTGTAGGCATTGATAGAACTAAAATTTCAGAAGAATTGGTATTGAACCAAGAACAAATTTTATCTAATCTACATGACTTCCATAAAATAATAAAATAACTAATTACTTAGTTTTCATGTCAATAATGTAAAACACCTGTTTACAAGTTTTTTAAAAAATATTTACTACTGCATTCCAGAATTTTAGTTAATATTTTGTTATAGTCTTCACTTAATAGTATTTTTAGTGAAAAGATTATTTAAAAAAGATTTATTATAGTTTGATTTGCTCGTTTTTATGACATTTGTTTTAGGGTTTTGAGCCACGAGGAACAAAAATTTCATCAAAGGATATATCTTTAAAAAATCTTTTAAATCAAAATGGAATATTGACAGGAAATGCATCTCATAGAACTGTACGAAGCACTGATAAAATTTTATTTTACCCTGTAGAGCATAATATTGATGGATGTGCGCTTGTTTTTGAACAAAAGGACCAGAAAGATTTATTTTCTTATATGCAAGGTGTATGTAAACTACACAAGGAAATTTTGTTAGATTTTCCAGGTTACAACAACTATTTCAGAACAGAAGTTAAGAGTCACCACATTCCAAACTACATAGCTTATTTTTATAACAAACCAGATTGTTTTTCTATCAATGAAACTGATGTCTATAATTTTAAAAAGTTACTTGTTGAATGCATTCCGTTTTACAAAAACAATACAATTACTGATTGCAAAGAAAATGATTTAATATGTGCAAATTATTATTTTTCTAAATGTTTTCAGCATGAATTAATGTCAGCTCAAGAAGTTGCATCGACTTTACACAATGTTTATTTTTATTTAGTAGAAAAAACTTGGGTAGATGATCCAACCAAACCATTAAGAGTTACACTCAGTGTTGATCCTAACTCACAGTGGAATAGCAATATACAGAAAAATTTTTTTAAACCACTTTATGATAAATACCTGACAGATCTTTCTAAGGCAAGGAAGTATGGTATTCAGATTAGCAGCTTTGATTTTTATAACTTTAAGTATTACATATTTGAGAATGCCATTGTTACCCAGTCTTTGTTAATAATCACTGCTGTTTTGTTTGTTGTTTTATTTTTATGGTACTTTAGCAACTCACTTTTTATTAGTTTAATGACTCTTGCTTGTGTTATAATTTCAATCACAATATCTTATTTTGTTTATGGAAGAGTTTTTGACATGGATTTTTTTCCATTTTTAAATATGGCAACTTTAATTTTTCTTGTTGGTGTTGGAGCAGATGATGCATTTGTTTATATGGGAGTTTGGAAAGATGCCAAACAGTCTTATGTATTGAAGAGTTATGAACTGCATCAGGAGTATTTAATCATATGGACTATACACGCATTAAAGCATGCCATTCTTCCAATGTTTGTAACATCTTTTACAACAGCTGCAGCTTTTTATGCAAACATTTCTTCAAACATCACATCAGTAAAATGTTTTGGTCTTTATGCTGGCACTGCTATTATAGTCAACTACTTACTTATGATTACATTCTTTCCAGTTGTTGTTATTTTGCATGAGAAATATTTTAAAAAATGCATGGCTCGCTGTTTGCCGTGCTGTTGCACAAACGATTTGGTGCTATCTACATCTCAAAAGCAAAATGGATACGTTTTAAAGTTTCAGATGTTGTTCTCATCCTTGACAAACTTCATGTTTAATCTGTTTATCCCAACTATCTTGCGAAAACTTAAATATTTTTGGCTTATTTTGTTTATTTTAATTGGTATTGGTGGACTGTTAGTCACATTTTTTAAGCCTGGACTCCAGTTACCCTCATCTCAAGAGTTCCAGATGTTTGGTAGTGGTACATCAATTGAGCAGTACAGTTTAAATGATAAAAAAAAATTTGAATTTAGTAAGGGTACCTATCAAATGGAAGCAACTTTTGTTTTTGGTGTAGAAGCTGTTGATAATGGCTACAAGTTTAATCCAGATGATCACGGTTCTCTGGTCCTTAAACCAGGTACTCTAGATTTAGCTTCCGAACAGATTTGGCTGCAGCATTTTTGTCAAAATGCAAGGAAAGCTTCATTTTTTATTTCTTCTCCATCATGTGATTTGGTATTAAATCTGTTTAGTTTGCTTGAAGGTCCTTGTAGACCAGATCAGACTCAATGTTGCAATAAAACACTGCCATATGATAAAAATGAGTTTAATACTTGTTTCTACTCAACTTTAGAAATGTTTCCGATAACTAATGCTATTCTTTTTGACACATTAGGAAGACTGCGAGTACTTATTATTAAAATACAAACAAGTAAGTAAAATAATTTTTATTTTATATTTTTATATTCATTTATATATATGATTTACATTGTATATTTATTTTTATGATTTCGTATACTTGATTATATTAATTAGATTGAAAAAATCTTGCTAATCTGAAATTCTCAAACGCAATTTGGAAAATAGATTTTTCCAGATTTTTAAAGCTTAATTACTTTTGCAAGATTTACCTCTGGATTGAGATTATCAGATGAAACTTTAAAGGGATCCCTAAGTGTTAAGACAAGTTGTGTTCATATCATAGATAAACATTAGCAAATAAGTTAAAAGTTAAACTTTCTGAAACAAATAATTGAATGAGATATTAACAAAAGCATTGGAATGAGATATTAACAAAAGCATCTGTTGTTGTTATACTTCCGGTAGAGAGGCTCTTAATTCTGCATAGTTTTTTCCGTTAGAAAAACATCTGGTTTTAATAATAAATGTTTTCACTTAGCGCAGAGTTTTTTAAACTCAGTTCAGTTTTAGATTGGGTTTTCCCCTTCATATTTCTTATAAAAAATATTTGCTGTGTTTGATGTTTGTTTTATTGTTAAGTGTTTGAGTTAGAATATACTAGCATGATAAAAATTGTAATTAAGCGAAGCGAACTTTAAAATAGATGAGATGAATATTTAGAAAATAAGTAATCAATTTTTTATATACTACACTATAATCCAACATAGTTAAATTTTTAAAGATTTAAAAATCTTTACTTTTTTTTTAAAGTCAGGAAACCGTTTTAAAAATGATCTTATACATATTTTTAATTTATGTTTATAGTAATTTATATTTCTAATTCAACAAACTGTTTTTAATATGATTAGTATATATTTTTCTGATGTATGTAAAAATGATATTAAAAACTTGAATCTTATATTTTCATTTAACCGCTAAAGAAAAAACACCTGCATTTTAAACTTGATTTATGCTTTTTTTTTAAAAAAAACCTTTTCTATTGGCGTCAAATATAAGTGCATTATTAAGACCGGTTTTTAAAAATAAAAATAGTCAAAGAGCCAAAACTTTCCTTTGCGAGAAACAAAATGGTGTTAAAAGTTATGAAGTTTTTTGTTAATATCTCATTCAATAATTTGCTTTGGAAAGCCTAATTGACTTTTAACTTATTTTCTAATGTTTATCTATGATATGAACACAACTTGTCTTGGCACTTGGGGATCTCTTTATAATTGTTCTCAAAGACCACTCTTCTTTTTAACTTCTGGGCTACCTCAAGGCTCTATCCTTTATTTTGTAATGTATCTCATCTGTATTAATGATCTTTCTTACATCTAACGTGGTTTTATTTGCTGATGGTACAACTTTATACTTCAGTCTTGGTGTCATCACTTTTTGTTCGCTTAGAACAGGCAACCAATCTTGAATAAATTGTTTGTAAATGTTGAATGATAGAACAAAATAATGGAATGATTGAACAGAAGTTTGAGCTTCTTTTCCATCATTCTTAAGATGCATCTCTTTCTTTTTTCTACAAATACTATCATGGTTGCTAATTGTTTGCATACATTTAAAAAACTCACACATCAAAATGAATAGTTAAGAAGATTGCAAAATTAATGTGATATCAGTGACATTAGGTTTGTTGAGGGTTGGTCCTATCAAGTATCAATTTTAAATTTATATTTATGTTAGTTAATGCGGCTGTAATGACTTTTACTATAAATGTTTTCAAAAAACGTTGTTTCTTTTAAATACCTAATCAAATAATAAATTGTTAGTACTTTTACTGTAAAAATGTGAAAGGGTGAATTAAGAAAATTTCAGATAAATATTAAGAACTTTGGGCTAATTAGAGTTTTCTGACAATAGTCAAAAGTTCAGTGCCAAATATTATAGAAAAATTGATTAAAAAGAGATAAATAGAAATCAAAAAAAAAGAGGTACTTATAGTTTTGATGGTTTATTAGATATAACGAAAGAAGACTTTGGTTGTATTCTGAAAAAAAAATCTTTACTTAAAGCAATTAGAGATATCTGGTAGAGTGCGATATACTGCTATGAAGCCAGATAATCCTAAAAAAAACATTCTTTAAAAAAAATTAAAATTGGAAACATTCCATCAATACCATCAACTTAAATTCTGAATAAATACAGAGAGGAACACTAAAGTAGTAATGAGTAAGTAAGTGACAGTGGCTGTTATTATAAACCTTCAATAAATATTAACAAACAAAAAATTAAATAATGGGCAGTTGAGACTGTTAAATTAGTTAGTCAAGCAAAGCTAAGTACGCAAAAAGCTGCCACAGTGTGTCAACAACTTCAGATGGCTGGTGTTGGTCTTTCTGCACCAATCCAATCAGTAACCCTTATGGCAGTCATCAGACAAAGTAAAAAGTTACAAAAAAGTTGAGAAAAAAAGTAAAGTTTGAGAATTGGTGTTTTGATGAGAAAAAGATAGCTGGGGTGAAACATCAAGTAGTTGTGATAAAGAACAATAAAAGGAAAGTTAGGCTAAAGCCAATTGTATTAAAGAATTGAAAGTCAAAGATGATTTTCGAAGGACTTCAAAAACTTTTGAAAGAATATGATTCATGTGGATCTATAAAAATTGATTGTGACAGACACTACAAATGTTAACACTGGGAAAACAAGTGGCGCGATGAAGAGATTAATGACACATTTAAAAAGTTTTGGCTTAGAGAAACCTCTGTTGGTTGTTAGTACCATATAATAGATTGAGTGTTAAAGTTATATCTGGATGATTTTTTTGAAGGTCACCTGATCAATTCACCTGATCTGTTATATAATTTTGTTGAAACAATACATAGTATATATGACTATTTAACATTGAACTTTGATAATAGTGGAATACAATTGAGGGAGAATGAACTGAAATGGAGAGTTGAAGTTTTTTAATGGATCTTATTAACGTAGTGAAATTTTAGAAGTTTGTCAAATATTAGCTAAGCTAGATGGAACTCCTGGGCAATTTATTTACTACTTGCAGGGGCAAGATATTTAGAAAGATATTTGAGGTACATCTGATTTTTTTGCAAACAACAATTTTATTAAAAATTGTATTTACACATTATTAAAAGAAATTACACACTATAAAAGTTTATATTGTAACAAATATATTATAAAATAATTTTAATTTAAAGAATGGTACACCAAATTGATCAGAAGCAACAATATATCTGAACCTAAGTTAAAAATATTGTTGTATTCCAATACTTGCTTTACTATATTCCAATACTATGCCAAATAATGTTTTATAAGGATACATGGCTACAAAAAGTTCTTTTTTATGACTTTTCCAATGAGAATATGTAGCTTCAACAGTTCCAATGAGAATATGTAGCTTTTTCATTTAGAATACAAGAAGACAAACTTTTAGCAAGACCATCGATTGCTCCAGCACCATCATATCAATGTCCTCTGCAATTCATGATATTTAAAGAAAATCTGAAAAAATCTTTTTAACAAAACATAAAATAATCCTTAACTAGTAACACCATTTGTGCAAAGAACTGATAAACTCTTTTATTGAACTTTGAATCAACAAACCATGTAATCAATAAAACTTGTTCCTTACTTTAATCGTCAGAGGCTTCATCAGCAAAAATAGAAAAATGTTTAAAATTTCAATTTTTTTTAAATTTTGTGTCAGTAAAAACTTCTTCAAAACACTTTATTACCTAATGATGTGATATCTTAGAAAGTATTTTTTTAGTAATATTAAAGTTGATCTTGAAAAATTTTATCACCAGTTTTAACACAAAAGTATTGCAAACACTTTTTTAGTATTTTTAACACATTTTAACACAGTTTTAACACAAAAGTATTGCAAACACATTTTTAAGAAAACTAAATACTTAACACAAGTGGACAAGATTTGTATCTTTACAAGAAATTATATTTTTTTGTAATATACCTTTCAAAGAGATTGGTTTTGTTTCTGCATTTTGTAGCATGATGTTTTTAACTTCATGATTAAGTTTAAACTAACACTTTTATCATCTAACATTAGGCGACATTTTAAATATCAGCAATAAACATATATTTCAGGGTGCTTAAAAATAAATATTGAAAACGAAACTAAATATAAAGATAAATCATACAAAAAAATAATGTTGGGGAGGTCCATTGGTTTATTTTCTTGTGTATTAATTATTATAACTTGTTTCACCTCCTGATTATCGCAAAACAAAAGATTTTGACTAAGGTTTTACTTAGGGTGTACCACTTAAGGATTTTACTTAAGATAAGGTTTTACTTAGGGTGTAATTTAAAAGTCCCTTTCTTAGAACAGGAGTTTTTTAAAAAGTCTTCCAGAAAAATGGTTAACAGTAATGTTAATAGAAATATCGAGAAGGTTTGTGATTGAAAGATGTCATAGAGAAATACAGAGGAATTTTAAATTTATTTAAGAAGATTCACAAAATAACAAAGGCCTTTTTTTTTTTTTTCAATTATCTTTGCTTCCAACAAGGCTGCAAGCAACCACTAATTAGTGTTGGAAGTTACTGGAAGAGAAAAGATGAAGATTGTAGAGCAAGATAATGATTGACAGACGACTTTAAAGATTGCAAATTATATGAATCAGGAAAGCAAGATGAAGGAAGCAAATTCCAAAGAACTGATGTTCGAGCAAAAAAACTAGGTGAATAAGAGTTTTTGGAGCACTTAGGAACAGTAACAGAAAAAGGAGGAGACTTAATTGAATGACGAGTAACACAAGAATGAATTTTAGTAGATGGCACAAGAGGCGCTAGCTCTTTAGAGCAGTGCCCATTATAGTATTTGTAGAAAAGAGAAAAAGAAGCAACATTATGATGATGTGACAGAGGTTGAAGGTTGGCTGCAAGAGAAGGTCCAACTATGTTTACAATGCGTTTTTGCGCTTTGTCTAAAAGAGAAAGGGCATCATTAGAAGATCCGCCCCAGATATGGCAACAGTATTTCATACCAATTCAGTTCACATTTGTCTACACTGAACTACTTTAGGGACGTTCAAAAATGGTTATTAGAAAAAAAATTAATAACTTGCTTTTTTAACAAATAAAATAAAAATTTAAAAACATTTTTTGTTTAATAAAATAATATTGGGGATGTCCAATGATTCATCTAATTAAATAATATTTATTTATTTAGATGAATATTTGTTTATAAATAATAAATATATTTTTATATAAACTTGAAAAACCGCTCTAAACAAGAAGCAAAAAAAAATTTTTTTATTAGTCTTAAATTCAATAATTAATCTCAAACCTAATTTACAGTTAAGTAAAAAAATGTTTTTATATGCAATATCAAAATATTATATTAACTTTTTTATTTTTTTAAATTCAATTTTATTTTTGGCATTTTTGGGTATATCTACAGATGTACTAGACGTTCCCTAGATCCGTTCCTGACTTACTTACATACTAATTCCTTCAGACAAACAATTACTTGAGATGGCAGTTAAGCTTGTTGCTGGAAAATAGGTTTTCAAACTAAATGTTTAACCCTGAAAATGGCAAAAAATTGGAGAAAGCTATTAAAAATAATAAAAAGTCTATCAATACATTCATGAAGTTTTGGTGTAATATTCCTTCGTCTACATTTACGGAAAAAAAGTATCCAGACAAACTATTCAACTGTTCAAGATACTTTGGAGAGAATGGAAAAGCGTAGAGTACTTAAAAGTTTCCTAAAATCTGGACAAAAATAAAAAACAACTCTAAGAATTGATTAAAAAATCCTCACTTTGGTTGAAAATTCTGAGACCAAATGCAACAGATGTTGCAAAATAACTCAAAGAACTCGAGTTAGTCAATATAAGTTCTCAAACTATTAGAAACAGGCTGCATGAGTATGATTTACATGGTAGAGCACTTGTCAAAAAACCGTTACTTACCAAATGACATATTGCAAAGAGGCTTGCATTTGCAAAGAGTTATCAAAACTGAGCTGTTTATGATTGGAAGAAGGTATTATGGTCTGTCAAAATAAAAACATGCCTTAATGATTCAGATAGTAGATGTTGGACATGGAGAAGACCAGGTGAATTAATGCAACAAAAACAGACAATAAAGCATGGCAAGTATGTCATGGCCTGGGGATGCATCAGTTGGAATGGTGTAGGGCGTATTCATGCTATAGAGGATACATTGTTTTCCCCAGATTTGGTTTGAAAGTATGTTAAAATACTTTCAAACCATGTGCTACCATCTGCTCGATAGTTATTCAATGGAGAATTCATATTTCAGCAAGATGGTGGTTTAAAACATACAGCAAAAAATTAATGTTAAGCAAAAATATTGAGGTGTTATATTGGCCAGCACAAAGACCAGACTTCAATCTTATAGAAAACCTATGGAAAGTAGTCAAGGAAGAAATCCATAAGCTTATATTGACAAAAAAAGATATAGAGAAGGCAGAAAATGCTAGAATTCTATAGATATAACAAGGTATAACAAGGTGTAACAGGTTGATTCGATGCCTAAGAGAAATGATGAAGTATTAACTAATAAATAAATGATGAAAAAAGAAGAAAAATGGGTCTAGTGTAGCGAATGTTTGATTGTACACTTGGATAGAGCTTTTCGAGAGTTGCAATATATATATATATATATATATATACACAGGCCTTGTGATGAATAAAAACTGCGCGACGCATAAGCACAACGTGATTTTTGACGTCATTAAATTCTTTTTATTTGCTTTTCATATTTATTGACATTAACTACACCAATTTACTTAATTACCGCAAAACTACTTTAAATCATTAATGTAGAAATGTTATTATTTAAAAATGTTTTGGAATGTTTCGTTTTTTAAAATGTAAAAACATTTGTTTATTTTCTCGACGTTTGACACATTTTGTCTATACTAAACAAATAAAAAACATTATAACTAAACATTTAAAAAAGATTATAAAATATGCTATTATTTGATTTTTTTTTTTATCAAATATGTTATTTAAAGTTTTTCAAATAATTATTTTTTCTTTTTAAAAAGTCAGCAAGTAATAAACTGGAAATCTAAATATTGTACGATTAAAAAAATAGTTAATATTTTTACTAGCAATTTTATATAATAGTTTTTTATTTATTTATTTTTATTTATTTTCATAAAGCAGTTGATAAGCACAATCACTTGTATTGCTAAAAAACTTTAACGAACATTTTGAATAGATTTTTAATGTTTACAAGGAATTTTATTTTTGGTAAAATAAAATAAAATGTTAGCATAAAAATCTTATAGGTATAAAAGACATATTTCAGCGAAAAAATTATTTTTAAAAATTATTAAAAATTATTCGAAAAACTATTGACATTCCATTTTTCAGCAGCTGTTCTTGAGCACGCTTCGTTGAGTTTCGGTAACTTTTAACAAAAAAGCAATTGTTATTATTTAAGTAATTTTTTTTTAGAGTTACTTTTTACAAAAATTTTAATAGCTGTACTTTTTTATTGAATCAAGTAGAATACGTTTTAATATTAATCCTTTTTTTTTTTTTTTTATTTGCGCTTACCAATTTTTAAAATATTTCCTCAAAATTACTCTTAAATACTTTAAATACGTCTAACAGTTAATAAATATTTTTAAATCTATGGAATAATTTTAAAACCTAACAAACCCCCGTAAAATAATTATTTAAGTTAAAAATCTAAAACTAAAAGAAAGTATTTTTGTTCAACTTTATCGACAACTTTGCTATTGCTGAATAATTTTATTAAAATGTTAGCTTAAAAAGATTTAAACTTTTTTTTTAATCTGAATTTTTTCTACTTGTAAATAATGAGCATATTTAATTTTTCTGTAATTCAAACTTTTATATCAACAGCGTGCGGTTTTTAAAATACTTTATTAAATGTTAAAATAATCGTAAATTACTTCATTAAAATTCCGCTCAAAAATATCTTTAAATATACTCAAACAAAAATTTTTTTGCTCGACGCAAATAGCCCTAGCTACACGCAAAATCGCTCTTGGACAACGTAAAATTCACATCGCCCGATGCTTTATCGCAAGGCCTGTATATATATATATATATATATATATATATATATATATATATATATATATATATATATATATATATATATATATATATATATATATATACAGGCCTTGCCATAAAGCGTATATATGTAAGACAATAATTCAACCTTTGTAATGTTGCTTCTCTTTCTCTTTTCTACAAATACTATAATGGGCACTGCTCTAAAGAGCTAGCGTCTCTTGTGCCATCTACTAAAATTCATTCTCGTGTTACTCGTCCTTCAATTAAGTCTCATCCTTTTTCTGCTACTGTTCCTAAGTGCTCCAAAAACTCTTATTTGTCTAGTTTTTTTCCTCGAACATCAGTTCTTTGGAATTCACTTCCTCCATCTTGCCTGATTCATATAATTTGCAATCTTTTAAGTCGTCTGTCAATCGTTATCTTGCTCTACAATCTTCATCTTTTCTCTTCCAGTAACTTCCAACACTAATCAGTAGTTGCTTGCAGCCTTTTTAGAAGCAAAGATGTTAAAAAAAAAAAAAAAAGATTTTAAAAGTCTTTGCAAATCTGAAGAAACTTTGTATTTAAAATATTTATTAACAAATTACTATTAAAGCAAATGCCAACATGTTTTATATTTTTATTACTTATTTGAATATAACTTTTTAATTTAATACAAAGCCAAAATTATTTTACTTTAAATTACCAGTAAAGAATCTCTAGGCATATTTGTTATGTGAATAACAGCTTTTGGCTTGGCTTTCTAGTGGGTCAGTTTTTTTCTAGAAACATGATAAACTGAATTCTGATAATTATATACAAAATTTCATCAAAGTATGACATGCTGATTGAGTTTGTAAAAATATTATACCCCTAACTAACATAAATCAATCATTTATTCATCAACCTATTTAGCTACCATCAACCACTCTTTATTCTTGCTCATTGTATCCTTTTATTGTATCTGTTTCTATATGCTCTAAAAACTTTTTAATGATTTGGAATTCTCTCCCTTCTTCATGTTTTCCTGACTTTTTCCTAACTACCATTTTCTTTTTATTTTACAATATTTTAGTTACTTACAGCCTTAGTTACCAGCCTATTAATACCTGCCCTCTTGTTGGTTTTTTAAAGTAATTAAAAAAATATGATGTTGTTGAGGTAGAAGATGGTAGAAGAGGAGGTAGATGATGAGGAAGAAGACAATGATAGTAATGATTTTTTTGATCATGATGATATATTTATATTTAATTAAAATTATTTTTAGACTTTCTGTATTCTCTACAATACTCATCAAGTGACGCTGCTTATAATGATCTTGATAAATGGTTTTCAACCCAAATAAAAAATGCTACAACTAACATTTTTCGAGAATCATGGTGGAGACTTCCTCTACAATTTTATGATTTACAAAAAAGTCTCTTTGAAGGAACTAAACAATCACTTGGTATTTTTTTAGTTCCTTGTTGCTTTTGTTAACAATACTCATTTATATTGGCTTGTTTTACTATTTTGTTTTTTTTATTTATTTATAGTTGTTGTTTTTTTTCTAAAAAAAAAAATGCTATTTTATTATATTTTTCTCAAATACATATATTACTATTTTTAAGGAATTTCTGTTGGTGTTGCATTTATTGTTATACTTTTTACAACATGGAACATCCTTCTTAGTATTTATTCAATCATTACAATCGCTTTTATACTTTCTGTTACAATTGGTGTGTTAGTTTTGTGTGGATGGCATTTAAATATTATGGAGTCAATTATCTTTTCTGTGGCAGCAGGTTTGTCAGCAGATTTTACACTGCACTATAGTATAGCCTACCTTGCTTCTTCCATAAAAGATAACAAAGTTGAAAGAACTTTGAATTCTTTGAAAAACATTGGACCTGCTGTTTTAATGGGTGCTATTACTACATTTATTGCTGGTATGATATTATTAAAATTTTTTTGATTATATTTTTGCAACGCATGAAAAGTAACATACTTTGGGTTTTTGAATAAATAATTTTTTGTTAAAAGACCAAAATAGTTAAACTCAAAGATTCAAGTTATTTATGTTAATTATGTTAATTATGTTGCTATTTATGCTTATGCTGAACTATTTAAGTTAATTATGCTGCAGTTAATTTGAATTTGGAATTGGTATCAACAAAATTAAGAAACAGTTACTATATAATTTCTTTTTGTTCAAAGAGAAATGTGTAAAATTTAATTGATACTAACTTATTAATAGAAAGATAATTTATTTTACAAATAACGATATTTTAAATTAGTTTTAAATATATTATTTTTTAATTTAATTTAAATTTAAAAACTGTATTTCAAGTTGATTTTTACAAGATAGTTTTAACATTTAAACTAACTTAAATCAACACATTTAACTTTAACAGTACACACACATATATATATATGTCATGGATTATTACGGTTGTTTCAATAATAAAAAAAAGTCATGAAAAATTACAATTGTTTCAATAAAAAAAATAAAAATAATACGATCCTTGCTAAAGATATAGGTCAGTATAAAATAAAACAAAATTTTAAAAACAAGAAATTTTACAAATGCAATTATTACCATATCTTGATATGTTTTTTGAACAACTTAAGACTTTTTACAGATACTTTCTCATCTCTAGAGTGTTCCAGAGTGAGATGGCTCTATATAATGTACAGCATGTATCATTATGTATAGAGCCTTTAGGAGGTAGTTGCAAACATTAGTTGCAATTAATAGTAGTAGTTGCACACTACTACTATTAATTATAAACTTATAAAATAACTTATAAATATTAACTATAAAGCATTATAAACTACTGCTTATATATAAACTACTGCATTACTATATTAATGAGTGATAACCCTCTCACTGAGTCCTCTTCTTTACGTCTTCTAGGACCATCGTTTACTACTGATCCTTCATGGAAACCATGTATACAATTGATTGCTAAATTAACATCTGCTAAGGTTGCTTCTTTTTATCATACTTGCCACTTTTTCTCTCATGATTCCGTTCTCAAATCTCTTATTCGTCCCTGTATGGAATACTTTTGTCATATTTGGGCTGGTTTCTTTTAATGATGCTCTTTCTCTTCTAGACAAGGTTCAAAAACTCACTGTAAACATAATTGGACCTGCTCTATCTGCTAAGCTTGAGCCTTTTTCCCATCGTCGTAAAGTTGCATATCTTTCTTTTTTCTAAAAATACTATCATGGTCACTGCTCAAAGGAGCTATCTTCTCTAGTTCCATCAACTAAAACTCAATCTCGCTTGACTCATCATTCAGCAAAGTCTCATTTTACTGCACCTGTCCCTGCATGCTCTAAAAACTTTTATTCATCTAGTTTTTTTTCCCTCTATTCAAAGCTTTGGAACTCTCTCCCATCTTCATGTTTTCCTGACTCATACAATTTTCAATTTTTCAAGTCTTCTGTCAACCGTTTCCTTGATCTATAACTCTATTTTTTTTCTAGTAACTCCCAACTTAATAGTGGTTGCTTGCAGCCGCTATTAAGTTGGGAGTAATTCAGAATTAAAAAAAAAGAAAAAGTTGTAGACAAAAATCTAAGAAAATATAAAGAAGAGGATTAAGTGAGAGGGTTGTCATTCATTAATGAATCTTGACAGTACTGCAATAGTTGTTTGCAGTAAATAACTGAGTTTTGTTGGAGTTAAAATTTACAAGCCACTGTGAGTCACAATATGTTACAGAAGTAAGATCTGATTCAAGATCGGCTGCTTGTTCTAAGCGATTGAAAAAAGAAGACTTTTTGTCAAAACATGAGTATAAAGTTGACTGATCAGCAAAAAGAGCTACTTTAGATGTAAGGTTGTAGGGAAGATCATTAATGTAGATAAGAAACAAAACAGAAGCAAGGACAGAACCTTGAGGTATACCAGAAGTTACTGGAAATAAAGATAAGTATTGGTCTTCAAGGATGACTTTAATAAAGCGGTTAGAAAGAAACAATTTGATTATCTCAAAAACCTTTTCAGATATACCAAATGAAGCAAGCTTAAAGAGAAGACAAGCATGTCAAACTTTATCAAAAGCTTTAGTTATGTCAAGTGCAAAAGTCAGTGGTAGAGGATTAAAAACTGTATTGATTGTCTAACAGCAAGTTATTTGACTCAAGATGGGATGTGAGAAATTTGTTTATCAAAGACTCAAAGACCTTGGTAATAACAGAAAGAAGACTGATTGGATGATAATTGGAGGGGTCAGAATGTTCACCGGAGTTTTTGAAAAACAACAGATGCCATTTTCCAACAGGCAGGAAAACAAGACTCAGTCAAGCACTTATTAAATAGTTTAGAGAAAATTGAAGAGAGTTCCGGAGAACAATTTTGTAAGACTGTGACAGGAATGTTGTCTGGACCACAAGCCGTAGAAGAGTTTAATCGAGATATGACTTTAGCAATGGAAACTGGGGTAAATGTTTAACAATAATTTAACCTATTTATTTGGAATGAAAGGAAGAGAATGGTTGAAAGATTTGTGAGTTGAATTAGCAAAAAAGCTCTTTGGAAATAGTTCAGCCTTATCCTTGGGAGAGGTAATAAGATCAGTTCCTTGAATGAGAGATAGAATGTTAAATCTGCCCTTGTTATTGACGCTGTTGAAGATTTTCCAAAAGTCTCTAGAGCCTAACTTCTGATGATGAGATTTATTGAACTGAGAATAATGAAGCTTAGCATCAGATTACATCAATTTCTTGCAATAATAAATACCTATTTGTTCTTAAGAGAGTTGTTATTTTGAAAAAGATGAAAAAAATGATTATGATTAGATATAGCAGTTGCACGAGAAGGCAAAAACCATGGAGCAGAATAAGGCATAATTTGGACAAGAAGGAATAAAATCTTCAACTCCTGTCTTTATCCAGGAGGTTACTCAAGAGGTGCATTTATCAGAAAGAGAAAAGACAGCAGCCCACGGACCGTCATGAAAAAAATCATAAAAAGTCATCACAGTCTTTAGGAGGAAAAAGATGACCTGAACACAAGCTAGGATCAGAGATAAGACATAAGTCAAGGAGTGAAGATAAATGATTAGGGTTTTCAGAAAAAATAAGTCACAAATTTAACTATCTGAATAGGAGATTAAAAAATTTAGAAGTTATAAGCTTTATTGTCAGCAGGGTAAGTGGCATTAGAACCAAGCCATTCAGTGTGATGAGCATAAAAGTCATCAATAATAACAATATTGGCGGAGGGGTAAAGAGAAAGGGCATGTTTAATTTGATCAGAAATTACATCTAAAAGAGTGCAATCTTGGGAAGAAGGAGAAGAATAAAGAACAAAAAGGTAAAAGTGAAGAGGTGCTAAGCGAAAGCACATAAAAGAATGGTCAAAGGATTCAAACCTGATTATACTTGAAAATAGGTGAATTGATGGTTATGTATACCCCCAAGCCTAGCATGTGACTATTGGAGTCTTTGCAAATCATAGGATAGTACCCATCAACACTGAGATCTGAAGAAGGAATTGAAGAATTTAAATTAGTCTCACTAAGAGCAAGCAAGTCTGGTGAGTTTTGCAAGAGAGAAGATTTAACATGTTAAAACAGTTATGTTGTGAGGATGGTTTTGTATGTTTAAAGAGAACTTGACTCATTTAAACTTTATTTAAGTTTAAAAAGAACTGGACTCATTCATAGATAGAGGACAGCCTCCAAAGCAATGACCTATGCAATTTTCTCAGTCTTGATATTAACCCTAAGTCGTAACATAGAACAATTCACTGCAACATGACAATTCACCGCTACAATGCACACCAAAAGCATTATTTTGCATCTGGCTTAGAACCATTAAACTGAGTTTTAGAGCTGTAGCCTCATTTGGAGATAACAGGAAGTGTTGCATAGCCACTATCAAGGAGGCATAAGCAAAAACCTATGTGTAGAGTCAAGAAGATCCAGCATTCATCATCTTAGGCAGGAAACAATGTAACACAGATTTATATCTTTGCTAGCCTAATAGATAAAGAAGGGGTTCGAGGCTGGTTAGCAGAGTTCTTCTGCTTACCCCTAAAGTCTTTGCCTTGGAGGTCTTCTACAAGACAGTAGCTGGATGCAGTTAACATTTGCCCAAGATGTGTATTTTTATTGAGATGCTATCTCTAGCCTTTACTCAACCAAGACACCCAAGGCAGGGGATTTTTAGTCAGTGTTTGTTTCTTCTAGCCTTTGCTTAAAAAAGCACATCCACTAGGCAGCAGGGCATGGGGCAGGTAGTACTGGGTTACATGGTACTAGTAGCAGGGTGATCATGATGATCCTAAACCTGACCTGACCTAAATTTAGAATATACTTAAAGCTTTTTTATGAATTCTATTTAGTAGCTTGTATTTTTTAATACAAACTAATAAATAGAATTCATTTAATTTATTAAGTTAATATGTCATCATTGTTTGAATAAAACTTTCAAATTAGAAGGTGATAAGAAAAGTTAAACAAAAAAAAGCATTAAACACCAAAAAAGATTTATCACGTAATTAAAAATTTCTTATGCATGAAAGTACAAAACATTTACCATTAGCTGTACTGCATAACTGTTTAATGTATTTCCCCACTTTAGATCTTTATCAATTAATGTATCAGGAAGTTAAACCTTATTGAAGGCAAAAACGTTTAAATGACCTATTTTTAGCAATAGATTTGTTGTGTTTTTTAAACCAATTTAAAAAATTTGAACTTATCTGGATTAGCAACCATAGATTTAAATTAAAACCAATTGATGGTGTTGGTTGCTTCTTTTTGAAAATGAATAATAGCCTTCTCAAAGCTATAATCACAAGCATAAATCATCATCTGCAAAATTACAAAGTTCTCTTAAGGCTAAATAAATATCAAGATTTGTTTATATAAAATAATTTTGAAAACTTTAGAAAGGGCTGGTAAAATATTAATTGAACAGTAATTCAACT